TAGATGTTTGTTAAATAATAAACAATTTTGTTATTACATTGTATATTTACGTACTGTGTATACGATACAATACAATATTATTGTTTAAAGAATGACATATTTCCAACATACATTTTAACAACAATTTTGCCAAATAAAGGAAGGTAAACGAAAAGTGCAGGCCTCCTGGGGAAGATATGGCCCCTATGCCTCCCATCCCTCGCGGATTCTCCAGTGCACTTAGATCCGGACGTGGCACTTCATACATCAGATTTTCTAACAAATCACATTTTAGAAGAATGACATTTTTGTTCTGTAACTTCTTTTCTTGTTATTCTCAATGTGTGAGTTATCGCGGATAATTCCCTACTAAAACTAGAGTACACGCAATTCTGTACGAGAATTGCGCATCAAGCAAGTGTTCCGGTTTTTTCTTTGCAAGATATGGGACCCCTATCATAAGTACATGTACGAGATTAATGGTCTTAGCTAAGAACTTACGAATAAATAGTACGAAGGGTGATGAACGAAATGTAGGCAAACAATTGCATCCGACGGTCCCGTAGTCGGATCAAGAATATCTTTAAGAATTTCAGAATCAAAATGATCTCTAACTATAGTGGTGATTATATTTATTATTGTTATCATCTACAGAGAGGTTAATTCTTTCAACTTGTTCATGATTTATAATTTGCCTTCCTGTCGAGATTTCCGCATGTCAGTCAGGAAAGCTTTGTACTTGAGAGTGAATACTATATCATGAGAAATTTATTTAGTGTAGTTCGGAATAGCATTGTTCAAATAATTATTTTACTATGATCTTTGAACCATAAACGAAAACTAGCGGTGTTACAAAAGCACCACTTTCTCACGATATTGTTTATAACTATGTAATATTATAATGAAACAATTTCTGTCTTACTCTTCAACTATCACTTGAAGAATTTTTAAACCAATGAATCGTGAAAAATACATATATTTTTTAATTCAAATTTTTAATCGAAAACTGCTTTGCCACTAAATTCACTGTATTCACGTTCTACATAAAGGGACCAATTATGCGATATCCATATTTTAGCCGTAAAATTATGTTCATATTAACGCGAACGAAAGGCAGCCGTCCATTATCGCCTTCTGTTATCAGTAAGGCGTTAAAACAATTGGTTGCAACAAGCAACAATGGCCACTAATTCGTATGGGATACACATTTTTAAAATTATCATTATTGATACTCCGAGAAAAAGTGAAAATGGATTGAAAAATATAATAAATGTAATACTTTTATATTCATCAAAATTAGTCGTTTTTTACACGCTTTGCTCTTCATTCCCACATCTTTTTATACAAACCGAAATCATCTATTTATTCAATTCATCTATTTATCACATTTAACTTAATTTAAGGACGGAATTTAAAATAGGTTTTAAAAAAGTTCTTAAAGATTAATTTGTAAACCTATGAAAAAAAGCTCGAATGTAAGAAACGAACAAATATATGAAATAATATGCAAATTTTAACTTCCATAGTATTCAATAGCCTGAAATTACCTCTATTACGTTCACGAAGCGCAGTAAATTCGGAGCAAGGAACTATGTTTGTCGGCAAATTACACAAAATTTTCAAAAACTTCAACGTGATTTTATTTGAAGATCTGCTTTTGATGAACACATTTCATTCAGAAAAATATTGTATTTTCACAATTGTTGTTATAGGAAGACGACGAAAAACGTTTAATTTTTGCTATTTTCCAAAAATCAGCCACGAGACCTGCAGTGTTATCTTTAGCGTCCAAGGTCCAAAGTTAATCAAAAAAATTTTAGTCGGATTTTAGGAAATGTTTTAAAGAAAATAAAAATTGCCTATGTTTGACGTAAAATTTCGTACTCATGTTTTCGAAAAATTGAGCATGACATAGTTTCAATTCAAGGGGTCGCGACATTAGCTAGATCGATAGGGAAATATCAATTTTTGAGAAAATCGGCTGAACGGTTTAATCGCTGGCATTGTTCACAGACGGACGCTTTGCCGACAATCGATTTTCCGGCATCGAGGACCCACAAAGCATGGATTCTGGGGACACCAGTGGTTAGAGGATTTATTTTTTCTAAATTTATCAACGGGATTTATCCAATTTTGTGTTACCAGGGCCGCGTAATAAGAGATTTTCTTCTGGAAATTCGCTGTATTTGTCGCACAGCATTACACAACTTTCTTTTCTTCACAAGCTTCTCCTTAAGGGCGAGAAAGTAGTAAAGAAAATATATATATATATATATATATATATATATATATATATATATATATATATATATATATATATATATATATAGTCTATGAATTCGTTAAATTATACTAATATTTCAATTTTTAAAATTAGTCATTAGTTATTATTGTCATGAAACGAGATTACAAGATTCGAAAGAGAAAATAGTGTCATTGGCAAAAATTATTTTTTCATCGTCAACTACATTTGAACAAGAACGGAACTCTGTAAAGTTGGCTGGAAAAATTAAGGAATGTTTAAAAGCTTTCGCGAGCCAATGCGGAACAATAAAATAACGTTCATCTATAGTAATAAAAGTGAATTCAACAACATGTAATTGACATAGATACCACAAAAAGTAGTGAATGAATAGGTTTAATTAAATAATAGACAATTTTACAGGCTCTTCTTGAGGATTGTCGCAGTGTTCTAGCAAAAGTTGATACAGATTATTAAAACATAAATGCCGAAAATAAATAATTTAAATAATATGCTGGTAGACGCACCATGATTCTTATTTTTCGCCTGTGTCTCAGAGCGATTTGGATCCGATTATATTCCGCCAGAGGCCAGTAGCAGTGCACAAGATAAAAAGCTTTGATGTACTGTAAGAGCAATTGGGGCTAAACAGGACGTACTTCCTCGCCCGTGTCTTCAGTCGAAAGTACTCAAAGTTTTGAAACATTCTTCACGGCCGGTGATCTGGGCTGTCCGGGTGACGCCGCGTCGAAGGCTGAGTTGCCGACGTTTCGACCATCCTGTCGTGGTCTTCCTCAGAGCTGGTATGCGAACCATGCCAGCCCTGAGGAAGACCACGACTAGATGGTCGAAACGTCGGCAACTCAGCCTTCGACGCGGCGTCACCCGGACAGCCCAGATCACCCACATGACTCTGGTCGCGGAAGCCTACGACTTCATTCTTCACGGCCGTATTTCAAAATATATTTTTAAGGAACAGATTGCATTAACTGAAAAATCTTTATCTTTAATATTTTAGTTGTAGGATGACTCCGAAAAAATTGCGAACTTTTGCAATTTTTGAAAAATCAGGAATTTTTAATGAACACGAGACCTACATCATTCCCTTAAACATTCTTCACACTATCCAACAAAAAATTAAATGAGAAACGATGGAGCCATTTTTTTGAAAATGCCCCGAGGGTTTCATTTAAGTTGTTACCAAAATTAAAATATTGATTTCAAATTCAAGGGGCCCAGACATCAGCCAGATCAACTGGCGAATTTTCGAGAAAATGGACTTAACGGTTTAGCCGCTAGCGTTGTTCACTGGCGGACAGACAGACGTTTTGCCGTCATTCAATTTTTCAGTAGGAAGGATCCACAAAACCTGGATTCTGGCTACACCAGATAATGGAGGAGGTTTTCTAAATTTAGCAACGGAATTTATTCTCTTTTGTGTTACTGTAATTAGAGTTCTTCTGCCAAAAATTTGCTGTTTTTTCGCGCAGCATTACATAACTTTCTCTCTACACTCTACAACGTCAACGCTGGCGAAATAGTTAAAAAGAGAGCGATACTGAATTACCATATACATTCCAAATAAATTAAACTGATAGTTTTCTTATCTTTGCCGAAACTGTTCAATTATATCATTTACATGTATTTTGTTACGTTTCTTTCTACACTTTCTACACCAAGAAACACGCAGAAACTACTCAAATGTTCAAAACATTCCCTTTTTAAGGATCAAATTGTAAAGAAGAAGAAGAAGAAGAAGAAGAAGAAGAAGAAGAAGAAGAAGAAGAAGAAGAAGAAGAAGAAAAACAGTAATTTTAAAGAATAAAATTTAAGAAAAAAATCTATCTTTAAAATAGTAATTGTTGAAAGATTCCGAAA